TAGAGTCTCACTATGTAGCCCTGGTCTGGAACTTGCTATGCAGACTAGATTGGCCTGGAACTCACAGAGATTCCCCTGCCTCTGCTTTCAAGTGCTGGGCCTGAAGTCGTGCATCACACTAGATCCCACTCCTTCTTCAAGCAGAGTAGACTGATGTATCCTGCAAGCAGCCACGCTGAACATGCTTGCCATTTGAACTGGGTCAGCATCCCCACACATCCCCTCCGCAGATTCACAGTGGCACGCCTCCACACCCGCAGACGGCCTGGCCATCTCCCAGGGCTCTCTTCTCCTCCTTCTTGACCTGTTCACTGGTCTGACCTCTTTCTCCCTTCTCAAATTTCAATCTTTGTTGTTGGCCCCATGGGCAGGGAGGCTCTGCTTCTGCCATTGGAATCTGAGCTGGATTTTACCATGTCAGGACTGGAGAACCCTAGCCTACTCCCTAGCTTTGCACAGACTGTTCTAGCTGTCTGGAAGAATGCCCTTCTGGAAGGAACCACTGGGTCTGTCTGACTCAACACTCAAAGCGCTTCTGCAGGATTTGTTTTCCAGACAGAGTTTCTCTGTGTAGCCCTGGTGTCCTGGAACTCACTTGGTAGACCAGGCTGGCCTAGAACTCACAGAGTTCTGCCTGCCTCTGCCTCCCAAGGCATGCCTGACTTTTTTGTGCACTGGAGGTCATTCTGTTCTGTGAATAACTTGGGTTGGACAGAACGGTTGACTTAAGTATACCTGTCTTGATTGTGAGTTTCTGGTGAACAGGAACTCTGGTCTTTTTCTTTTTGGTTTTTCAAGACAGGGTTTCTCTGTGTAATCTTCTTGGCTGTTCTGGAACTCTCTTTGTAGACCAGACTGGCCTCAAACTCACAGAGATCCGCCTACCTCTGCCTCCTGAGTGCTGGGATTAAAGGTCTGTGCCACCATGCCTGGCTTTCCTACCATCGTCTTTGGTCCAATACATGTTATTCTTGGACTGACGACTCTGCCAGCCTTCTTCACTCCTGCAGGGAGGCGAGCTTGCTTAAGCAGGAAAATCATTTCCTTGTTAGATTTGTGACAGGCAGCGTATTAATTAGCAACAGGTGATTAGCAGCAAGCAAACCCGCGTGCTTGGCTTACGTAACCCGACCTTCTCCTGCCTTGTGAGCTGTCTCCCAACCGCTCTCTCTTTCCAGTGAAACCCAGGGGTCACACATCTCCTGGCCTCCCGAATGGACATCTGTCCTTGGCCTCATCTATCTCTGCCAACTGAAGCAGGAAGGAATTGCATCTGTCCCGGAACGTCTTGGCAGGCCTGGATGCAGGCAGAGAGAGCCGGTTAACTGTGGGAGAGGGAACTGAATTGCGCTAACTGGGAAAGGAAGGGCTGTAAAACCCCATCCTTGTACTCCGTAGAGGTGGAGAAAAGCATTAGTTCTGAGAAATGCTGGAATAATGGAATCTGAGGATGCAAAGGGGTCACGTGTGTAGTCTTAAATACTGTTTACCCATCCCACGCCTCCCAGCTCTTCCCAAGACAAGACCCAGCCTGGCTAATATAGCAGGGGCTCCATGAGGATGTGTCGTTATTAAAAAAACAACAACGACAAAAACCAAACACGACTTTTTTCTATTGTGCTTCCCGGTGGCGCACGCCTTTAATCCCAGCACTCGGGAGGCAGAGGCAGGCGGATCTCTGTGAGTTCGAGACCAGCCTGGTCTACAAGAGCTAGTTCCAGGACAGGCTCCAAAACCACAGAGAAACCATGTCTCAAAAAACCAAAAAAAAAAAAAAAAAAAAAGAAGGCAGATTTAGTTGATCAAGTTACTCTCTGGCCTGGTGGTGCCTTCTCCTCCCCCTCAAGGTAAAAGCAGTTGATTTGATAATGTGCAGGACAAACTTCCGGAAGCACTGAGCTGGATGACATAAAACTTTGTCTATTTTTGCAAAGACTGTGACATCTGAAAGCCACAAATAGGCCATTAAACAGCAAAAGAGTCAGATATTTAAGACTTTAGGTCACCTTCTTCCAGAACCATCCAGGGTTCAGGAGAAATGGCCTTTCTGAAGGAAATACCCAGGGATTCACACTGGGTCCCCCCCCCCCCCCCCCCGGGTCCCAGGATGCTTCTCTTACAGTCTCTCCAGGATCTGACTGACTAGCATGTAGCCAAGTCCTATGACCCTGGGTCCCAGACTTGAGAAGGTTCAGCTTTTACTAACCCCAAATATCGCTGAATAATTTCCAGATGTTTCCAGCTTCCTGATCCTCTCCATGGTCTCAAGCTCTGCTTTGGATGTACTGTCTCCTAAAGCAGACTGAAAACACCGCTATGCTGTTTCTACCTGCACAGTTTTGGTCTCTTCTCTTAATAAGAAAACACAGTTCTCTGTAGGCTCTACCTCTGTCATCTAATTTCTCTCTAGTACACCTATCTATCTGACTGTCTGTCTATCTATCTATCTATCTATCTATCTATCTATCTATCCTTCATCAATCCACCCATCATCCATCTACGTATGTATTATTTATCTTTCTTTCTATCTATCTATCTATCTATCTATCTATCTATCTATCTATCATCCATCTATGTATCTATTATCTATCTATCTATCTATCTATCTATCTATCTATCTATCTACCTACCATCTACCTATTTTTATCTGGCTATAGGTACCTCCTTTCTCTTAGGTTTAGCCATTCACTCCCCACTCTGATATTGTAGCATCAGGTTCACACCTCCAGAGGGTTTTCACCTCCCTGTCCTAGCTGATGTCTATGGCCTACTTTAGGCCATTTTGCAGGATAAGGGCATTTCTGGCCTCTGAGATTGACCCCCACTGTCTAGCCAGTGATCTCACATCTATTATTCAAGTTCTCTCTCCATCCCTTTCCTTTCTGGTGGAGGGAAGACAGAGGAAAGAGAATAACAGGAGTGGATGATGAAGAGATAAATAAATATCCTTTGCTTATTAAGTGTTCCTCATGGGAAAAATCCAATCCCGATTTCCTTTTCTTATAAAAATGCACATTAGTGCTTTTTTTTTTTTTTTAAAATTGGGGGCAAGGGTCTATAGCTGATCCCGTATTTATGAACTTTAATGTTTTGTTTTTCAAGACAGGGTTTCTCTGTAACTTTGGAACCTGTCCTGGAACTCTCTCTGTAGACCAGGCTGGCCTCAAACTCACAGAGATCCACCTATCTCTGCCTCCCGAGTGCTGGGATCAAAGTTGTGCACAACCACACTGGCTGATGGTTTATTCTTTTGTTTTATTCTGATATTTTTGTTGCTTATTTTTTCGAGACAGGGTCTTGAGCTATAGCCCAAGGTGACTTTGAACTTACTGCAATCCTCTTGCCTCTGCTTCCTGAGTGTCAGGATTACAGACGTGAGCCTTCACTCCAGGTTGTCTTTGAAGGTCTTAATTGTACTATAATCACCACAGCCAAGGGCCAGTCAGGAAGTGCTCTTCCATGACAGAGCCTTGTGCACTGCTCAGCTGGCTTTCTTAGTTTTGATAATAGCTGGAGGGCAGAGCGAGTTCAGCTCCTGTGAGGTCATAGACCTTGAGTGAGCTGCAGAATGGGATTCACAATACCAGTAGCTTATTTCATAGGACATCTGAAATTAAACAACAACAACAACAGCTTTCTAATGCTGGGCATGGTGGCTTACACCTGGAATGGCCTCATTTGGTAGAAGCAGGGTGATCAGGAGTTTGAGGCCAGCCTGGGCTACACAAGAGCCTGTCTTAAAAAAACCACCATATCACCACCACTACCATCACTAAAACCAAACTTAAGGTTCTGAGGTTAGATAAGATAAAGCCTGCAAAAAGACTTTTGACCACTACAGAGAACAGCAATGTCTGCTGCACCGAAGTGTGTATCAAGAGAACAGTACGAGTCAAGCCCCACGGCAGGGTCTATGTGACCCAGGTAACTCTGTCAGCCCTTTCCTGACTTGGAGGCTTTCCCAGACTGTCTACTGGTTTCTGGGTTAGACTCAGGAGGGACTACGTCAATTCTTACCTAAGACTTCTTCATGGAGCAACTGTGGAGGCTGGGGAACAGAGCCCAAGGTTTGGCTTGGGAACGGATTCAAGGACAAAGGCCTCTGTGCCATCTGAGCAAATACTGGGAACCAGTCACTGTTGCATGACGTTCACAGTTCACATCTGGTGTTAGGAAATCTACACTTCAAGCCAAGGATGGCATCCTGGCTGGACACGAAGGTGTCATTGACTGGATGCTGTGCAAAAGTGCGGCCAGCCAGCCAGCAGCTGACAGCACACACTGAGGGACCAGTGGACACCTAGTCCAATTATCTTGTCCTAGAGGGGACCCTATAAGGGGTCAGCTACGGGGTCATCTCAGGTCAGGTTGAGTTACAATTATTGCAGAAGCAAGTGGATAGATGGCAGCAAGCAGCTACTTGGCCCAGCATTTTGCCGAGCTGGCTGGTCAGAGCAGGCTGGGCCCTCGGGCTAGAACTCACTTGTTCCTGTGGCTCTTCTCCAGTGGCAGGGAGAGGTCAGTGATGGCAGCCTTGGGGACAGTGCATGTCTCTCCAGAGTCCACTAATAAAGTTAATAGCAACTGTCCCAGTAAACAAGAGTAGACTTACAGTGTGGACATAGAACTCTGTTTTCTTTTGTTTTCCTTTTTTTTTTTTTTTGTTTTTTTTTGTTTTTTCGAGACAGGGTTTCTCTGTGGCTTTGGAGCCTGTCCTGGAACTAGCTCTTGTAGACCAGGCTGGTCTCGAACTCACAGAGATCTGCCTGCCTCTGCCTCCCTAGTGCTGGGATTAAAGGTGTGTGCCACCACCGCCCGGATTGTTTTGTTTTTCAAGACAGGGTTTCCCTGTGTAACCCTAGCTGTCCTGGAACTCACTCTGTAGACCAGACTGGCCTTGAACTCAGAGATCTGCCTGATTGTGCTGGGATTAACGGTGTGTGCCACCACCACCTGGCCATAAACCTTTTTAAAAAGTACTCACTTCACTTGTGTTACAGCAAATGGAGCCCATCATAGAAAACCACAACTGGACACATGCAGAGATCAACAGCTCCTGGGGAGCCCACCCCAGTGGATACATCTACATCACAGCTCCTGCGTCAGGTCCATCACAGAAGAGGGGCCAGACAGGTTGTCAGAATACAAAAAGTCTACAGAAAAACAGTCTCCTGGAAGTGGGGCGTAATCAACACTGAAATCATAGCAACACCAATAGATATATTCCTGTGGAAGGGGGAAGACTTTTTTGAGTGCCCCAGACCACAGGCAACCAATAAAAGCTGGGAGAAGAATTAGCCTCGCTCAGAGATGAGCCTCCTTCGTGGTTGTTCAATGTGAAGTGGTCAGCCTCAAAACCATACAGACACCATCAGCAAAAACAGACTCAGAAGACTCTGTATATATTTGTGTGGACACACATACACACATTTTCATATATATGTATGTAACAATAATAATCAAAGAAAAGGAGGCTATCAATTCGTAAAGGGGATCTGGGAGAGGCTGGAGAGAGGAAAGGTTGGAAAGTGATGTAAATCTATTTCAGATAAATAAATAATATATATTATATATCTAAAATTACCATTTTGTTCCAGAATCAAAGAATGTGTTTTTATGTTTCCAACCAGGAAATGAAAGACAAATTCCTTTTGAAGATGTTTAAGGCAAATAATAATCTTCAGGGTTTCCCATAGGCCTACTAGGCCCTATGCTGTCCTCTGGACTTTCCTAGTCTGTGTGTTGAGTGCTCATGCTTCCAAGTAGGCGATGTGTTTTGGGAGTAGTAGGTATACTTCTGGGATATTACAACTGAATGACCGTGGCACAGAATACTACGATGGTCCTTGTCAGCGGTGGTGGAGGCAGTGAGGGTAGAGGAGAGGTCTGAGGCTTGTGGGAAGGGGTTAGGTGTGAGTTCTTAGCCAACTGTGGCTGAACGGGAGGTCCAGCACCCCTGTTGGAAAAAGGACATGTTGGACCCACCAAACTTCCTCTCATATCCGGGTGCAAAGGAGGACTCTGGGAGGCCACCAAATCCCATGTGGCTGGAGTGATGTGCTCTTCATAAAACTGACATCCATTCAGCGCTTAGACCCCTGTGTCAGATCATTTTTTTTAAAATATTTATTTATTATGTATACAATATTCTGTCTGTGTGTATGCCTGTAGGCCAGAAGAGGGCACCAGACCCCATTACAGATGGTTGTGAGCCACCATGTGGTTGCCGGGAATTGAACTCAGGACCTTTGGAAGAGCAGGCAATGCTCTTAACCACTGAGCCATCTCTCCAGCCCCTCCTGTGTCAGATCATATAGCGTGCTATATGTGAGGCGCTGTTCTAACACGGGATAGATAGGAACCAGTCATCCTACACTGGGTGATGTTGATATCCCCATTGTACAGCTGAGAAAACAGAGGCCTAGCCAGGATAAGTTCATCCTTGCAGGATCTGAATTGAATCAGTTTCAGAGGTAAGACTGTTAGTTTTTGGCATTCTCCTGTCTTCATTCCCTTAACAGTATGTCTGGGTTCTAAGGTCAACCTTTTACCTAGTACACTGTATACTTTACATCCACACACACGAGTCTGTAGGGTTTCTTTCTAAAATGGTCCTAGGAAGTAGATAGATTGTATGGCACTAACTCCAGGACAGACCTCACACGTCTTTTTCAAGGCCACGTGGCTAGTTAGTTAGTTAGTTAGTTATAAGGTACTCAGGGTTCCTGATAGAGAATAAACGTTCATTTCACTGAAGCACATGAATTCAGTCCCGTGTGCTGGAGTATGAACCAGTTCTAATATGCAACGCTCAAACCGCAGTCCCGGAGATTTAAGACCCAGGATTTACTCATCATGAACTGCTTACAAAACAGAATGGAGCAATCACACCTTGGCGCTTTGGGGCTGCAAGGATAAAACATCTCTGGGTCTCCACGCGGAAAAGGTATTAACTGTAAGGGTATATAGGTAAAGGGGCATGAGAGTAACACAACTGTGCTCCTAAAGTTGCCCGTGGGAGGCTCTGAAGAAATGGGACAATGGCAGTCCTTCCTGAGGATGCCACATCTTCCTGGGCTGCACCAGTATACCTTTTCTAAGAAACTTATATCCTTCTTCTGTGCACAAAAGGGTGTCAAAGTCTAGACAATATCCATAAGGTGGAACCTTTTTCAGACAGAGTAGGTCCAGCCATTCTTCCTTGGGGCTAGCTTCTGTTGGCCTGACATATGGATTGTTTTTGGGCCAGAGGTCTTCTCTATTTCGGAAGGTCCTGGGCAGGGTTACAGGCAGATTGCATTCAGTACAGAGGATATTAGCCAACGCAACTAGGCTCAGTGTCTCCTGGTTTCTTGGTTACTTTTCTCATTGCTATGAGAAAATATCTGATAAAAACAATTTAAAGAAGGAGGGGGTTTGAGGAAACATAGCCTATCGTGGCGCAGAAGACATGGTAGTGAGAACATAAGGGGACTTGGTCGCATTACTTCTAGGGTCAGGAAGGAGAGAAAGATGGATGCTGGTACTCAGCTCCCTTTCTCCTTTCCCCATTTTTACTGAGTCTGGGTCCTGAATGCATGGATGGTTCTGCCTATATGTTAGGTGGGTCTTTCTCCTCAGCTAGAAAGCTCTAGAAACAGCTTCATAGATATGCCCCAAAGTGTGTCCTCCAAGTGATTTCAAATCTAGTTAACTTGTCAATGAAGATTAACCATCATGGTCCCTTTTTTCAGAAAGAGGCTGAGGGTCTTCCAGTAAATAGTTCTCAATAGTCCTTTAATTATAGAGGGAGAGCTAGAGGAGGCCATAGAATAGCATTCCTCAACCTGTGGGTTGTCACCTTTTTGAGGGTCAAAAGGCCTTTTCACAGGAGTCACCTAAAAACCATGGGAAAACACATTTACATTGTGATCATGAAAGTAGCAACATTTCAGTTATGAAGTAGCAATGGAAATAATTTTATGGTTGGGGTCAGCACAATGTGAGGAACTATATTAAGGGATTGCAGTGTCAGGAATGTTGGGGCTCACCACAACATGAGGAGCTGTATTTAAGGATCTCAGCATCAGGAAGGTTGGGGCTCACAACATGAGGAGCTGTATTTAAGGATCTCAGCATTAGGAAGGTTAGGGCTCACAACAGGAGGAGCTGTATTTAAGGGTCTCAGCATCAGGAAGGTTGAGAACCACTGCCACCGAGATTACTTATTTACTTTCCTGAAAGTGCTAGCCAAGTCCAGAGTGCAAAGACACTTGCTCTGGCCACGGTATCACTCTGGAAGAGCTGCTTCTGTCATTTCTTAGTTTGGGAAGTTGCTTGCTCTGCACTTCCTGCTTATTCTGGTAACATTACATCCTTCTTGGGTCTCTGATGGAGTTGAAGATGAGATAGTTACAGTTACATTTTTTCTTGTTACAAAATTCAAAAAAGAAACTTACATAAGAGATGTAAACTTTATAAGGTTGAGAAGCATAAAAGCTTAAGTTCTTTATCTAAAAGAATGTTTTGAGGTCTAAAAAGATATTTTTAGAATGGTAATACAAGTTATGACAGAGCTGGACAGAAACAGCTGGCTGCCTAAGCAGTCACCCAAAATTCATCTGTGAAGTTGGGACATTCATCTTTGGTCTACAGGCCTAGACAACCTGACAGACTTTTCTGTGGAGTTGGAATTTTGAAGGACAATCCTTGCTTGTCTTGGCAAAGTTTGGCAGTTACTTTCTTATGTGTCCTACTCATCCAATTTGTACAGCATACTGTAAGCAGTAGAGGTAATGACAGTTTCCTGCCCATGGCTAACTTTGCACAATAAAAGCAAATCCCATATGGAGGTTCTTTGACGGCCATCACCTTTTTTTTGAAGTAAATTGGTGCTGCCAGGAGCAGAAATGCCAAACTGTCATGAAAAGCCTTGGGTTATTAAAACATCTTTTTTAAGACAGAGTTTCTCTGTGTAACCTCCCTAGCTGTCCTAGAACTAGCTCTGTATAATGGATTGGCCTCAAGCTCATGGAAAATATACCTAATATGACTACAAGTTTGATTGTTATAGATGACTAACTACTAACCTGAATTTCTGAATTATACATTACATTAAAATGAGCTGTATAGATACAAATCCTTAAGCAAAAATAGAATCATATATACAGTCTTTTATAACAAAAATAGCCGTAATTTTGTGTCAATATACAAAAATCCATGCTAATGTAAAATATTTGAGATGAATAGTTGCTTTTTAGTTTAAAAGCAGAGTCAATAATCTACCCCTTTATCCTATATGCTCCTTTTTCTTTTCAGAAAGAGATCCTTTAACCAGCCTGCTTTGTTTAATATTTTCCCTGGTCATGACAGCAACAACTTGAAACCAACCCCCACAAATAATGAAAAACAGTTATAATCCACCAAATGACCAAAACCACCCACTCTACCTTTTGGGAATGTGAGCATTGTGTTTTCTAGACTGCTTCCTGTCATCTGGGGGCAATGACATCTTTAGGGGACCCTGAGAAAATTGGGATAATGATCAAGTCCCGGGAGAGCTAATTTTCTCATCTGTTGTCCAGTCTCTGTGTGATGGGAAAGTGCAGAGCTTATCTGAAGTCCTGGCTGAAATAGTCTGTGAGGCTGGACCATCTCGGCTAGCAGCTTTGAAGTTGTTCTGGATGAAGAATTTTGAGGAAACTGCAATGGAGGCATTCCTAGGGTCTGAATCACCTGGGCTACTTGTCTTCATTGATGTTTGGTCCTTTTTTTCTTCTTTCTTTTCTTTTTTTAAACACACAAACTTTTAAAGGTAACATACATATATCTATCTGTATTAACACAAGTATGAAATGTGTGGTGTGCACAAGTCAGCTAAAGATAATTTTTTTTGTTCTATGTTTGAGCAGGTAAAAGGCATCTGCCACCTTATATATTCACTTGGACTGTATAATCAAACTGCATTATAGATCTCCATCCATGTTAATATAAAAGGATGGCACATAATAATAAATCATGAGGACTCTGTAGCCAACAAGATTTATCATGTCTCCTCCAATCTCGGAGCTGGTCCTGTGTCATGGGATCAGTACACGTCCCCAATCCTACAGTGTTTCTTGACTTTTCCCTCATGTCTGCAGCCAAGATTCTCAGGAAGGCTCCCTTGGGCAAATCTGATCTTTATTAATTTTGACAAAAAACATAGCCTTTTGTTTTCTATGGAAACAAAGATATAATGTCTCCCCTAGTGCAACACACTTCCTGACTCCCATTTTACAGCCAAGGCATTTCTAAAGTACGTAGTCTGGCTTATTTCAGCCCTCCCTTCTATAATCCAATGTCTCCCAGAAGCTATTGTTTTTTCATAAGTTAACATTGACAAAACTCAAAATCAACAAAGTGCTGTACAGAATCCAGATAGCCTGTGTATTTCCCATCTTTATGTGGCCTTTTTATATTTATTCTCTCTTTAAAGACTTTATTATTTTTAAACTATTTATTTTTTCTATGACTGTCTATACCCATTTTTTTTTTACTGTACTGGTTTAAAGGTCTTTTTGTCTGGACTGCTTTTAC